GGCTGGGTGCTGGCAGGCTTGCACCTGGCACGGGCACCATAGCCAGCCCGTGCCCCTTTAAGGGCTCCGGGGCCAGGAGGGGGGCAGAAGAGTTTCCCTGGTGGTGCCTAGAGTGGCCACCAGGGAAAGCTGGGAAGGGCTAGCCTCCCACTAGTTCGAATTAAGTGGCTACACAGCTCTTAATTCAAACTAGTTAATTCGAACTAGGCGTTAGTCCTCGTGGAATGAGGTTTACCTAGTTCGAATTAAGCGCTCCGCTAGTTCGAATTAACTTTGTAGTGTAGACAGACCCTCTTTATGGAAGCCGTTCCAACCCCTGGATCAGCTTTGTTGCTCTTTACTGATCTGTGTCCAGTTCCTGTGTCCTTCTGAGATGGGGCGCCCAGACCTGGACACAGCATTCGAGGTGCACGCTCCATGGATGATGGGAGTCGTTACAGTGGCAGTAAATAGTGTTGGGTTATTTAGATTAAGGTTATTTAGGCTGCAAATATTTTGAAAGTATTTCAGAGTCAGATGCTTGCAAGTGGGGGAACTCGGAGTTGAGACTCCAGACTGAGCCTGTGCTGCGCGGTGCTGGGTTCTGAGTTGGTTATTGTGATGTGCTCCTCGTTGTGCTGTCTGAGCGTCCTCCAGCTACACACCTGCCACGTGTCGTTCTCTCAGCCCACCAGAGGAGAACTGTGCGCCAGGGAGTGTCTTGGTTTTGAAATGTCCGGGTTGCTACGGACTGACGTGGGCAGGCCGCTCAGAGACATGTGCCTGCGCTTGGAGCAGAAGGCAGAGTGCCCGTGTGCTGGCTCTTAGGGCAGGTACACCCACTGGGTGCTGTGCATTACAGGTCCGCCTCTGTGGGGAAGAGGTGAGCCTCTTGCAGCCCCACGTTGGGCACCTTGGCTCTGCTCAAGCTGTAGCTGCTCCTGCTGCCAGCTGGCGAGGTTCTCGGGTCAGTCCCTGGTGCGTCAGCTAAGCTGGCAGCCAGGTGTACAGGCCCAGCACCGAGGAGCAGGAGCCAGGCACCGGGAGCTCAGAGTTACGAAAGCAGGCGTCTGCCAGGTGGATGCTTATCTTACGTTCCTGCCCTTCGCTGTGCCTTGTGCACACAGCCTCTCCTCCCCCGCCGTGGCTTCCCTGCCCAGAGGGTTTCCTGTGCCAGGGAGCCATGTGGGGGCAGCAGAGGGTTTCAGGGCCGTTTCTCTCTGCAGACGGGCGAAGGTGTGAACGACGTGCGAAAGGGAGCCTGCGCCAACCACGTCAGCACCATCGCGAACTTCCTAAAGGTACAGGCATGTTTCAGTCGGCTCTCCCTGAGCCCTCCCCGTTGTTCCAGCTCTGCAGCTCTGTTCTTCCTGCTGGGAAAGGGCAGGCCTGAGAGAGGAACAACCGGTATTGCAGGCCCTGGGTGAGCCCAGGCATCTCCTAAAGCAGCAGCCGGGCGTGCATGGAAATGCAGTTGGCACACCGCTGAGTCCCCTGAACCCCTGTGAAGTGCACCTGTTGGCCATCCCTTGGGGGCTTGGTAGACCCCTTCTTCTGAGCCTCTTTGAGAACAAACAGGTTTTAGGGGGGGCTCCCCTATGAAAAGCAGTGCCTGATGGAAGGGGAAGAGGCAGCCCAGGGAGGCAGAGCTACAAGCATCCTTTCCCTGTTACTTTGTGGGGAGTCACCTGTTAGTCACAGTTCTCCCTCGTATTTGGCTGCAGTTTGGGGGCGAGTAGCTCACCAAGCCAGCTTTCAGCAGCAGTCGTGCAGTAGGAGCTATTACAGCATCAGTGTGAAAGAGGCATGGAGTAGCCAGAGGCCCCAGGCCGCTGCGGAGCGGGGGGCATGGCGGGTCTTGCCTTCAGCCCCTTCCGCCCTCTCGCTCTGAGGCTTGACCTCGGAGGAATCCAGAGAGTTCAAAGGGCCCAGGACTCAGGTCAGCCCAGAGGGAGGAGGATGGGTGACGGCGCGATTCCAAAAGGCGCGGCTGGGACCAGATCCCAATGGTTCTTTGCCAGTCCCTTCCTCCCCTGCCGCGGGGGTCGTGCCAAACGCCGCCTAGGAGGGGGGCTCTGGT